CAGACAACAGCTCGCTGGGCTTCTTTGTGACCATGGGCGTGCAGGTGAGTAGTGAGACTGGTACTGTGGCCTATGGCATTAGCTGGTGAGAGAGAGTGTGTGTGTGTGTGTGTGTGTGCGCGCGCGCACTCGCTATGAGATTGGTGGAAGTAGGAAGATATCAGACAGCAGCTCGCTGGGCTTCTTTGTCACCATGGGATTGCTGGTGAGTAAGGGCACCAGCATCATGTGCGACGGCACTGGCAGGTGAGTGTGAGCATGTGGATAACAGTGGCACTGGCAGTGGAAGCAGGAGGATATCAGACAACATCTCGTTGGGTTTCTTTGTCACCATGGGCCTGCAGGTGAGTAAGGGCACTAGCATACGGCACTAGCAGGTGAAGGTGTGAGCATGTAGGTAGCAGTGGCAGTGGCAGGGGCAGGGGCAGCAGGAAGATAGCAGACAACAGCTCGCTGGGCTTCTTTGTGACCATGGGCCTGCAGGTGAGGTTGCGTGGTGTGAGTGAGGGCGTGTGGGTAGTGGTTGCCAGTTGGCAGTGGCAGGGGCAGCAGGAAGATATCAGACAACATCTCCCTGGGCTTCTTTGGGACTGCAGGTGCGTTGGGAGTGCAGGTGGGTTGGGACTGCAGGTACGTTGGGACTGCCCAATATCTCTTTTTCCGCTTCCTGCATCAGATCAGCGTTCATCCAGCATATATTATCTGGACATCCCAGGATATGGTGTGCAGGACGCTAGCATCTCTGAACACTGGCGTCCAGATTGCTGGAATGATTGCCCATTAGATACACATTCGCGACCAGGACCACACCTCCTCATCGCCCCTCATCACCCCACATCACTGCACATCACCGCACATCATCCCCTGTAGTCTGAAAGTTATCGCCATAGCATGCAGCGTGCATACATGCTTGCACTAGTCCCCATCTCCACCGCTCCCTACCTCTTACCACATCAGCCCACCCAATCACTCTTATATCTCTTTCACAGGGCACTCTATGGAAGGTCCGCTATTCCCGAGGTGGTCAGATTTTTGAGTCGACTCAAAAATCGTCTTACCACATCAGCCCACCCACTCACTGTCTTAACCCTTTCACAGGGCACTCTATGGAAGGTCCGCTATTCCCGAGGTGGTCAGAAGGTCACAGTGCCAGTGAGTGCTGTCCCGTTCTTCCTTCCTTTCTTTCTTTTTTTCTTCTTCTTCTGTTAATGCATTCTCATGAAGCAAGTAAGGGATCTTTATCTTTCCTCTCTCCATCCTTGTTCGCTTGTTTTACTGCCTGATGGCATTGTTGTGAGTCCTGGTGGGACTCCCACTATTCTCCTTCGCAGAGCCTGTTTTTTGAGAATTCTCAGAAAACGGATTCCCACTATTGTCACACCTTTCCCACCATCCTCCCTTACCTTCCCCCCCAACCCCAACCAGATTCTCCTCTCGGCCACTCTACGACCAGCCATCAGCGTTCCAGCCATTCTTATACCCTCTGTCACATATGCTGTGCTGAAGGTATTACCTCTCACAGAAGTTATATGCGCTCCCATCCCATCTTTATATCCCTTACCACACCCATCACTCTGTTAACTAGAGTCTTTAAGCAAAGAAACCTTTTTTAGCTGAAACTCACTTCGCCTCTCCTTTTTCTTTCTTTCTTTCTTCCCGGTCCTCCCTCCCAGCATTGGGTATTTAGCCGGTGGAAGCAGATCCGAGAGGCTCGGCAGGACCGGGAGGTTCGGCAGAAGACAGCGAAGCAGGTCTGGGAGTCCATGGCTGAGGCTCGGCAGCTACAGGACATGATGGCTCCGGTGGTAACCAGACGGGTTAACGCGTTACAACAACGACCCAACGGCAATGCTCTTATCATCTTATCGGCGAAATATGGGCGGCTGGGAGGAGTGGAGGGGAGAGGAGAGGGGGAGAATCGGAATGATAGCAGACGAGGTAGTAGTGGTGCTGGTGGTGGTGGTGCTGCTGCTGGTGGTGATAGTGGTGGTGGTGAAAGCGGCAGTAGCGGAAGGGAAAAGGAGGGCCTAGTTACAAGAATAGGGTTGGTGCTAAGAGGACTCAGAGGATTGTTCGCTGTTGGTCTAGGAGGAAGAGGAGGAGGGGAGGAGGGAGTGGGTGGAAGGGAAGATGAGGACGAGGATGAGTGGGAGGAGGATGAGGGGGAGGGGGGAGCGGACAGGGTGGTGCTGCCTCCTGCAGTGTGGGACGTTCGCATTCCTCTGCAGTTCCTGGTGGACGATGCGAGCAACACATTACAGGTTTGTGCTGCTCTCTGTGTGTGCTGTGTGTGTGTGCTGCAAACAACCGCATGGATGAAAAGAGGGGGGGGGGGGGGGGGGGGGGGGGGGGGGGGGGGGGGGGGGGAAGAGTGGACAGAGTGGTGTTTTGAGACGTCTCAAAACATCACTTTATCAGGAGGGGGGAGCGGACAGGGTGATGTTGCCTCCTGCAGTGTGGGACGTTCGCATTCCTCTGCAATTCCTGGTGGACGATGCGAGCAACACACTGCAGGTGCGTGCTGTCTGTCTGTGTCTGCGAACATGTGTGTGTGCTGCAATCAACTCACTTGCGTGCATGTAGGCATGTAAGCATGTTCGTTCCTCTGCAGTTCCTGGTGGATGATGCGAGCAACACACTGCAGGTGTGTGTGGTGTGTGTGGTGTGTGTGCTGTGTGTGCTGTGTGTATGCATGCATGTGGTGCTGCTACACATGTCACATGTACGCAGTTGAGCATTCATTCCTCTGCAGTTCCTGGTAAGCGATGCATGCAACACACTGCAGGTGCGTGTATGAATGCATGTGGTGCTGCTGTATGTGTTGCTCATCTGCTATGGTGTTCCTTCTACAGTTGTCACATGCAGGTGCAGCAACCAACTCTCTCATGCATGCATGCATGCCTCTTCACTCTGCATTTTCTACTTGGCACCCTCCACCCTTTTCCAACCTCCCCTCCAACTTTCTCCAACCCCCAACCCCTTCCCCCTTCTTCTTGCCTATCTCTTCTTCGTCACCTGCATGAGGGGGTGAGCAAGAAGGGCATCATGGGCTTCTGTGATCCCATTTTTGAAGACCCTCCTACCCTTCATTTTCTACCCCCCCCTTCATCCCCCCTCTCCTTCCCCTCCCCCCCTTTCACCCCTGCGTCAGCTGCATGAGGGGGGAGCAAGAAGGGCATCATGGGCTTCTGTGATCCCGCGCCTGGGCTTCCCACGAAGCTGCGAGGGCAACCCAAACCCCCTTCCCACCCCCTCTCCCCCACACCCTCCTCCCTCCCTCCTCAACCACCGCACACCCATACCCACACAGTTGCACGAGGGGGTGAGCAAGATGGGCATCATGGGCTTCTGTGATCCCACTTTTGAAGACCATCCTACCCTTCTTTTCCCAACCTCCCCTTCCCCCTCCCCACTCCTCTCTACCCTACTTCAGTTGCACGAGGGGGTGAGCAAGAAGGGCATCATGGGCTTCTGTGATCCCGCGCCTGGACTTCCCAAGAAGCTGCGTGTACGATACTCGTACAGGGGGGAGGAGAGGGAGGTGAGTGCTCCATTGTGCTGCACTCCCGTTGCCGCTTGTCATGCCATGCCACTGAGTTGATGGTTGTGAACGGAGAAGTGCATGCTCATCTGCTCATTTGAGGCGTTCTGTGTGTTACCGTATTACCATGTCAATGTGAGCAGGTTATTGTGAATGACTTGGAGGCACTTTCATTGCCCCTACCTTTAAGAGCATCATAATGGCAAGGACTGTGTGATACTCTGATGCTCCCCGATCGTGGTTGTAATCATCCTAGAGCTCCTTACATAGGATTGGAAGTTGTCATCATAGAAAAGTTTAGTAAAGGACTTTCACAGAAGGCCCTACGTTCAAGAGAATTGCAAAACTCTGCTGGGATTTTTATCAGGAAGAGGGAATACCGTGTATCATAACAATGACATCCAGGATCTTTGCGCATGCATATTCCATGATCAGGCTGTCTCATGTTCAATGGAAACGGTTTGCAGAGGTGTTAGTGCGATTATAAAAGGCAACACATCAGAAGCCAGATTGCTGAGTTCATAACGCCATATATTCTGATACGGACTTTTAATCAGTCACAACAGTCAACAAAATTTATCAGTGCAAGTACGCTTCTGCGCATATGGCACCATTTTATCAGAGACACTTCCCTAAAGAAAACACAGCTGCCAGGGCTTCAGGCCGTGTCACAATCCTTGGCACGCCATCTTCAGTATTCAGTTGGACCGGCGTCCCAGCAAAGCCAGCTGCAGGCATCTTATGAATGCCGTCAAATCATGGTTTGTCTGCACAAGTGAGATTGACAGAAGCAGGGATTAATTAGTAGATGATAAAAAAGGTGGGGGACCGAGACAAGCAAGGGTTCCACAGAAGGGGAATGGGTCCATGAATTGCACCAAGGCGAGGAGTCAGTAAACGGAAGTTTGGCAACATCCAGATCGAATCAGCAAGGATTGCTCAGTCTGGGGCGACAACGTAATCATCATCCTCCATACGCCTTGGTGCAACTCATCAAATGCATCACATTATAAAATAATCGAGAAATGCTCATGAACGAAGATTTCATAAAGGCTGGCAAATCAGACCAATCGGATTAAAATGGCTCGTAAATGCTGGGGGGCGTGGAATCAGTCTGACGTGCAAATCTAAGTTTAAGACATCAAAGAGATCAGAGGTATCGTTCAGGTGGATCATCACTTTCCAGCCACCCCCAGGAACCAAGTCGGATAAAAACGTCAGGAAAGACATAATCGTTAGCAACATATTATGAATGCAGATAAGTCCGTTAACTCACCATTATAAGCCGCACAAACTCGTTGCCCTTTGGCCCTTCAAAAATGATGCACCAGGAGTATGTGCCTGATATCAATTACCAGTCACCCTGGTTGCGTAGGAGCAGCCGACATGTCAAAACCGCCCAGTCTAGGCTCATGGTGGAAAGGAGCAGTGGCAGAGCCCCTGATCACATCTTCACCACATGGGGAAAATAATGGTGCTGACAGGGAGGTCAATTACTGCCTAGCCTTGCGGGAGAGCTGGACCAGGCTAGGGAAGCGGGTGAAGTGGAATTTTGCAGTGCGGGGTAGAGTAGGGAAGGGAAGCTTTTATGGGTGTGCTGTGGGTCTGGTGGATTGATGAAAGTGCACTTGGTGGCAGTGGGTTCAGAGGGTACCGGTGGAAACCACCCTCACAATAATGGATCAGGGGTTTCGAGAGAGGGTTTCCAGCTGGGCGCAATAAATAGATGAGACATCTTGTTTTGTGTGCTTGTATTCCAACAATCGGAAATAGTGAGTTGCCTCGTATCGGGGATCTCGACATGTCAATAAACCAAGAGAACCAAATATGAGCGTACATAAACGCGACGAAACACGTTGAACCTCTTCGAACCGCTTCAAAGAAACTCGGGCAGAGCAAAGCAGGCCCCAAATCGATTTTTGCTTGTCAAGGCTCGAGAAAGTAACCAGTTCGCGTCATAGCAACGTTCACGTGCTGCTGTCGCTTTCAGTCAAACCCGAAACTGTTGCCTCGCTCACTCCTGTCACGGGGCTTCGACGCCTGTCGCTATGGCCATCGCGCTCCCATCTGCCTCCGTTCCTTGCGTCGCTCGCGTCCGCACCCCTGTGCTAGCGCGCTGCTTCTCCTCCCGCCCCTTGTCCTCCCACTCAATTTCGCATCTCCCGCATGGCGCGCTCTGTTTGCGCCGCAGCGGCGACGAGAATCGCGGGTTGATTGGTCCTCGAGCCCGTGACGACGACGCACGACGGCGACAGAACATCGTGAGGCTTTCTCTTTCTCACCAAACCGCGTCGTTATCGGGCGATGCCGAGTCTGTTCTTAGCGAGGATACTGGCGACGAGGATCTTTTCGACCCGTTCGCGCCGACTGACTTAGCCGACGACGATCACATGTCCCTTGCTGGTATGCTTGCTGTCTTAATACACATAGTCCATCCGTTTCCCTGCCACGTGTCTTATTTAGGCCGCCTTTTCCCCATCTTCCCTCACATCCCCCTCCTCCGTTTTTCTTCCCTCCCGCCTCTCCCCTCGCCCCACCATTTGTCCCCCCGTTCCCCTTCCCTCCAATCAGAGAGCATGCGTGAGCTGGACGATCAGCTCTCACGCCGACCGTTGGATCTAGATCCGGCGGGCTACTTCATAATCTACGTGGACAGGGACCAGCAGTGCCTAGTCGCTCAGCACTTCGGCAACCTCATTGACATTAAAGGCCGCGCGTGCGACCCTGTAACGGGGAAACCCATTCCCTGCGATGGCTCCTACAAGCCCACTCCCCTGCGCGTGTATCGGTAAGATTCTGACTGTGTGCATTCGGGCCTCTCCTGTTTCTTGTTGTCCTGTCCAATTTTCCCTCACGATCCCTTTCCTACTCCCTCTACCTCTTCCGTTACAGTCTGTTTCCCTACTCCCCACACCTTCCCTCCCACCCCTCGTTTCCCCAACCCCTCTTTGCTCGCCCTTCCTTTCCTCCCCCCACCTTTTCCTCCCCCTCCTTCCTTCTTCTCCTCTCTTTTTCCCTCTTCTCTCCTCCGTCCATCCTCCCCCACACATCAAACCCCCAGACAATTTCCCCCACTGTCCTCCAATCAGCCCTCCTTCTCCTCTTCCCTCTCACGTCCTCCCTCTCCCTCTGTCCAACCAGGGGTAGGACAGCAAAGGAGGTCAGTGTGATTATCTTAGAGCAGTACTTTGGACCTGGGGAGAAAAGCAGGGGAGCAGCAGAGAGGAAAAACAAGGAGAATGCAGGGGCACAAGTAGGGTCAGCGACAGCAGGAGCATCGACAGCAGCATCAGTGACAACTGCTGAAGGGGTTTCAGCTTCATTATTGTCACAGATACCGCCTGTCACGATGCTGAACCATGCGAATTACCTGGGAAGGGAACTGCAGCGGGCAGAGGCAGCGTTGCTCAATGGTACAGAGTACATTCAAGACTAGTACACTGTGCTTGTGCATTTCCGAAGTGAGGTACCAAGTTGCATCCTTCAACTTTCTCGGTGCTGTGCTTTCCCCTATTTGGAAGACCTTTGTATGCAGAAACCATTATGGATTTAATGGAAACAGTGACATGCCGTGCGCATCTAGTGTAGTGGTATCATAGTACCCTCCCACGGTACTGACCGGGGTTCGATTCCCCGGATGCGCAGTCCTTTATGCACTACCATACTTATTGTATCTCTGTTCACTACTTATGTCGTTTGCAAGATTCTCTCAACGGTTGCTTGCTTGGCAGTATGGTGAATGTGATTCATCAATCTATTGCCTCTCATTGCTACCAGTACTTAAAGCGGCGGTATACATTTGGCAAGGGAAAGGCCAGAAGTTTATAAAAGGTACCTGGTGGTAACCAAATTACGGGGCCAGTCGACTTTTCACCCAGCGACAAGTTCAAACCCAACCCCTCTCACCTGACTCACGCGTAAAAAATTTATGGCTAGCCGAAAGTATACTGAAGGGCATGCCTCCTCACCACTATCCCCACTCCCATACCGTTCTTAGTCAGCACTAAAAACGTTCCTTCTACATGCTCGGTTCGCCATTGAGATTATAGCGCTTCTCACGATTAGGTCATACGCCGACAGTGCCATTTTCTATTTTCCCGCGCCTAATACGCGGAGTATTTAGCATCCAAAGTGAGAATGCGTGCAGGCGGCGCCTTAGCCAATCCCTTTTCCTGCCGCCCGATTCCCCTTCGCCGACGCCCGATTTCCCTTCTCGTCGCCTGATGCCCCTTCCCACCGCCCGTTTCCCCTTCCCGACGCCCTGTTTCCCTTTCCCGCCGCCACGAAACCCTAGTCACGCTGCCCGATTCCCCTTCCCGCCGCTCGACTCCCTGTTCCCGCCGCCCGATTCCCCTTTATGCCTCCCGATTCCCCTTCATGCCTCCCGATTCCTCTTCCCCGCCAAAGGTGACCTTTCCCGTCGCCCGATTCCCCTTCCCGCCGCCAGATTCACGTTCCCGCCGCCCGTTCCCGCCGCCCGACTCCCCTTCCGCGCCGCCAGAGTCCCCTTTCCCGCCGCCTGATTCCGTTCCCGCCGCCCGACCGCCGTTCCCCGCCGTCCGATTCCCCTTTCGCGCCGCCGTATTCTCTTTCCGCCGCCCGATTCCCTTTCCCGCCACCCGATGCGCCTTCCCGCCGCCCAATACCCTTATCCCGCCCTCCCGAATCCCATTTTCCGCCGCCAGACAACCCCTTCCCGCCTTCCTATTCCCCGTTCCGTCGCCCGACTCCCCTTCCCTCCCTTCTCTCCCTTCCCTCCCTTCCCACCCTTCTTCCCCCCTTACCTTCTCTCCCTTTTCTCCCTTCCCTCTCATCCCTCCTTGCAATCTCCTGTCCCTCCCTTCTCTCCCGTCCCTCCCTTCCCTCCTCCCCTCCCTTCCCCCTCTTCTCTCCCTTCCCTCCCTTCTCTCCCTTCCCTCCCTTCTCTCCCTCTCTACCTTCTCTCTCCTTTCTCCCTTCCCTCAGAACCATCCTTGCAATCTCCCGTCTCTCCCGTCTCTCCCTTCCCTCCTTCTCTCACGTCCCTGCCTTCCCTCCTTTTCTCCCTTTCCCTCCCTTTCCCTCCCTTCCCCCCATTCTATCCCTTGACTCCCTTCCCTCCCTTCCCTCCCTTCTCTCCCATCTCTCCGTTCCCTCCCTTTCCCCCCTTCCCTCTCTTACCTCCGTTGCCTCCCCCCTCTCCCTTCCCTCCTTTCTCTCCCTTCGAGAAAAGTCTCACCCTTCCCTCCCTTACCTCCCTTCCCTCCTTCAATCTCAAGCCCTCCTGTCTCTCCATTCCCTCCATTCTCACCCTTGCCTCCCTTCCCTCCCTTGCCGTCCCTATTTCCCTTCCCTCCCTTCTCTCCCTTCCCTCCCTTCTCTCCCTTCCCTCCCGTCTCTCCATTCCCTCCCTTCTCTCCCTTCCCACCCTTTGTCCTGCTCGTAGGGGCAATCCGTCCCTCTCTCGTCTGCCTCCTTACCCCCTCCTTCGCCCAAACCACCCCATCCCTCTACATCGCTCCCAATCTCTCCTCCATGTCTCCCCATCTTCAGGTCCTTTGATTTCAGCCCACGGGCCTCATTACGAGGCCTGCAACAGTGTTCCATGCACGTAATTCCAGCGATGTGTTCTATTCCTTTGTCATGTGCCTTGCACTCTCCTCCCCTCCTCTGACCTTCCTTGCAACTCATCTACCTTGTCCGGCCCCGCCGTGCAGTTTCGATACTTTGAAGTTATCGCGACTTCATTGCTGCATGTGCGTCAGAGGGTGAGCATCAAGGATCTCTCACCCGAACCCTAAACGGCGTATCTAGCCTTCCCGCCTCGGTGTGAGTTCGTCTGGTATCTGCACCTACCCCTTTCCAAGCCCTTCCCTCCCATCCGTTTCCCTGACATACACGAGCCATTTCCCTGCCAAACTATTCCATCTCATGGCAGTCCCTTCCATACCACATCCATACCCTTCTCATGCCCCATGTCCCATTCTCCATCCATACCCTCTCTCTCCTCTGCCCACCAGGTGCTCAAGGGCAGCGACCATTATTACTGTGTGCTGCTGAGCGCGCACAGGGGGGCATCCTTCGCCGCTTAGTCCCTCCCTCGTTTCCCTCTCTTCCCTCCCTTCCCTCTTGTCACTCCCTCTACCTCCTTTCTCAGTGGGCCAGGCTTGTCTGTGCTTGTGTTGCAGGTGGGGCGCCTTCCCGACTGCACACCCTACTATCTGCGCCTCACATATGCGATGTGAATGACAGGGGAGCGTGGCAAGGGCCACTGGCGAAGCAGCTTCAAGCCGCTTGGTCACTTGGCCCATCCGTATATAGCACATAACACACCCTCTCTCTTTCCCTATTAGCTATTTCTTACAGACCCAACAACACATTGTGCCATCAAATGCATGTTTTAGTATTTTTTACCAACTGTTGCTAACACCACTAGTGTTATAGCATGAACTTTACTACAACACATCATGGACTCAAAGCGGTTTGGTTTCAAGTAAATGCACAGAGGCAATCCATGCATACAAACTTAGCAAGCAATGTGCGATTGGTCAAGTGTGCAGCCAACTTCTACTTATAGGCGACGCAGGAAATGTGGAGCGGTGCTGGCAGGCGATGGGGAGGATAGCCGAGCGAGGAAAGCGTGCACGCAGCAGGTCGCCATTCCTGAACACCATAAGCTTTTGAGGCTGCCGGTCATTGGAGATCCACTCCAACAGCACAACACTCGTTGCTGCAGAGAAAATCTGCTCGTTGCTGTCCGTCCTCAACGTCCCAAACCTGAGGGGATGGTGGTAAGGAGGGTGGAAAGGGAAGGGATGCGTAGAGGATGGATGGGGTGAGAAGGGATGCATAGAGGATGGATGGGGTGAGAAGGGATGCATAGAGGATGGATGGGGTGAGAAGGGCTGCGTAGAGAATGGATGGGGTGAGAAGCGATGCGTAGAGGATGGATGGGGTGAGAAGGGATGAGGCAGAGGATGGATGGGGTGAGAAGGGATGCGCAGAGGATGGATGGAGTGAGAAGGGTTGCGAGAGGATGGATGGGGTGAGAGAAGGGATGCGCAGAGGATCCATAAAGTGAGGAGGGATGTGCAGAGGATGGATGGGGTCAGAGAAGGGATGCGTAGAGGATGGATGGGGTGGGAAGGGATGTGTAGAGGATGGATGGGGTGAGAAGGGATGTGCAGAGGATGGATGGGATGAGAAGGGATGTGCACTCGGGGGAAACAGGGGGGCAGCAGGGGGAAACATGGGGCCTGCAGGGGGGAAACATGGGGCCTACGGGGGGAATTATGGGGATGGAATGGGGGGAAACATGAGGCACGTGGGGGAAAATGGGGGAATGCGGGAGGGGGAATGCGGAAGGGGGAATGAGGAAGGGGGAATGCGGAACGGGGGATACGCAAGGGGGGATGGGGAAAGGGGAATGCGGAAGGGGGAATGAGGAAGGGGAACCGCGGAAGGGGGAAAGCGGAAGGGGGAGCGGGGAGGGGGGAAGGCGGAAGGGGAAAGGCGGAAGGAGGAATGCCGAAGAGGAATGCGGAAGGGGGGATGCGGTGGGGGGATGCGGTGGGGGGATGCGGTGGGGGGATGCGGATGGGGGAACGCGGAAGGGCGCATATGGACGGGGGAACGCGGAAGGGGGAATACGGAAGGGGGAACGCCTGCGAGGGATCGCGGAGGGGGGCGTCGCGGAAGGGGGAACGCGGAAGGGGTAATGCGGATGGGGAAATGCGGAAGGGATGCGCAGGGGAAATGCGGAAGGGGGGAAGGGGAAGGGGGAATGCGAAAGGGGGTATGCGGATGGAGGGAATGCGGAACACATCCATGCGGAAGGGGGAATGCGGAAGGGGGAAGGCGGAAGGGGAAATGCGGAAGGGGAAATGCGGAAGGGGGAACGCAGAAGGGGGAATGGGGATGGGGGGAATGCGGGTGGGGGAATGTGGAGGGGAGAATTTAGAAGGGGGTATGCGGAAGGGGGACTGCGGAAGGGGGGATGCGGATGGGGAAGGCGGAAGGGAGAATTTGGACGGGGAAATGGGGATGGGAGAATGCGGTTGGGGGAATGTGGAATGGGGAAGGCGGATGCGGATGGGGGAATGCGGGACCGAGAGTTCGGAATGGGGAAGGGGGAATGCGTGTGGGAGAATGTGGAAAGGGGCATGCTTCATGTTATGTAACGGTGCGAGTGCGTGCGGCAAATACGATACGGCGCGTGTGCCTCTCCTCATACGCGCGACGCTGGTTCAACGGCTTGGCGAACGCGAGGTGCGTGTGCCTGTCCTCATACGCGCTGTGCTCGCACGCGCGCTATGCAAATTTTGTGGCCCCTTGCTGCGCGCGTTTTGCTGGCGCGCGTTGCTCTGCTCCCCGCGCCTAGCTGAAGCACGCTGTGCTGGTTTGTTTTGAATGCAGGCATGCGTGCGTTGCTACAGGCGAGGGCGAGACAGTTGCTGTACAAGCTGACTCTACGAGCGCTTTTGCTGGTCGTTTCCTGCTCTAAGCTAATTACCGACGCCACTAATTACTCACACGCGACTTCGAGCGTGGTCGCAGAGGCGTAGCACCCTCCAGCGTGCGCCCTGGTTTCTCTGGTGTAGTTATTAGCGGCTTATTCTACTTGTGTGTGAGAGTGGCAGGTGAGAGGTGACGGGAGCATCTCAACATTTGTGACACTCGCAACCCAACCCTTGTTCATTCGTACGAGAGCGACTCAGGTTTTCGCCAACATTCTTGCTCCCCTTGTTTTTTTCGTCTCGGCGAAATGAAGGGGTAGACACTGTACAAAACAAATAGTAAAACCAAATGTATCCTAGAACATGTGAGACTCTTGTGAGCCGGAAATGTATTTATTCATTGCAGGTCATAAAAAAATACAGAGAAGCAGGTCATAAGAAAATAACCTGCAGCCCAACACTGGCACTCCCTCAATACACACAACAGTTCCACTGCAACCCATCCTTCATGCTCTTCCACATGCCGGCCTTGGTTATGATATCTTGAACGTCTCATATTGCCTGGGGTTTGGAACATCCAGCGCGATTCCTATCCTGTAGTTAGGGCAGTACTTGACCTTGGGGGACATTTCTACTGGCGACTTGGGAGGCTCTCCGGGGCACTGTAGCCAGTGAAATGGCAGCCAGTAAAGCAGAGAGGCGGTGTGTGGATTGATCATGATCGTTTGTTGATCCAGAAAACGGCATGATTGCGTCGATCCACATGCGAGGCGACGTGGAGAAGATGGGGAGAAGGGAGAGACGGGAAGAGTGGGGGAGAGAAGGGGAGGCAAAGGCAGAGGGTGAGGATGGGAAGAAGAGTGCGAAAGACAAGTGCACTCTACAGCGTGGGATAGAACAGAATACACAAGAATTGCATGAATCAGCTGCAGTCACGGCTCTGTCTTGGTAAACACCACGCACCTGAATTTGTCGTTGATGCGCCTCCAGCATGGAGAGGAAGCAGGGCTCTGGCGAGGTGATCTCACACTTTGACTGCTTGTTCCTTTCCCAGCCTAATGTGCTGACCTCACTCACACGATAACCTGACTCCACCCACCCACACACCTGAATCTGTCCCTGTTGTGGTTCCAGCATGGAGAGGTAGCAGGGCTCTGGCGAGGTGACCTCACACTCGGGCCGGCCAAAGACGTCCCAGTTAACCCCCACCCGGCGCACAGTGCCGAAAGAAAAGGGACTCACTGTCCTTGAATCAGAACAACCAAACACCATCCACCAACACACCTGGATTTGCCGTTGATGCGCCTCCAGCATGGAGAGGTAGCAGGGCTCGGGCGTGGTGACCTCACACTCGGGCCGCCCGTTGACATCCCAGTCGGCGCCCATGCGACGCACGATGTTGAGGGAGAATGGACTCACTCCTGCCAGGCCTGCTGCCATGTAGCCAAAGGTGGAGCTGTCACTCACCATTAGTAGGTCGCTGGGGGGAAGAGGGAAAAAGGGGGCATCCACAGGAGATGGGGGAGAGGATGGGGCATGAGGAAGGGTGGTGCATGATGTCCCAGTCGGCGCCCATGCGACGCACGATGTTGAGGGAGAATGGACTCACGCCCGCTAGCCCTGCTGCCATGAGGCCAAAGGTGGAGCTGTCACTCACCAGCAGCAGGTCGCTGGGGGGGTGGGGCAGAGAGGAAAGGGGGAGCAGGGAGTATCATGGACTGCACCACACGCTAGCAGCCTGGAATCACAACTTGGTGTGTTGTCTCTCAAAAAATGCACAAAAAAACAAAAAACCCAAGCCTAGCCACCGCCACATCGTGGCCCCCAGCGGCTCAACTGAGGCCTCCCTCCCACACAGCAGCACTCAGACTGCCCACTCACCACATTGACAGCAAAGCAACCACATCTCTTTTAACGCCAGCCTGCTCCAGGTGACTCTACTAGCCATACGTCGGCGATAAGTCAATTTTTGAGTCGACTAAAAAATTGCCAGCTCCAGCTGACTCTACTAGCCATACGTCTGCCCCAAGTGGACAGGAGTCTCGCCGTTTCACACTGGTTGTTAACATGTGGGCTGTAAGCACCTAGGCCTCCCACTCACCACATCTCTGTTAGTGCCAGTTCCAGCTGCCGCTCCTCGCCATACGTCTGCCCCAACTCATGGCTCAGGCCGCTCACCGCCACGTCGTGCCCCCCCAGCGACACCCCCTCCACATGGGCACAGCAGCACCTCGGCCTCGCACTAAGAGCACTCACACATGGGTACAGCAGCACCTTATTTGTGAGAATTCTCAAATATACCCTGCAGCGTCACGGGCACAGCAGCACCTTATTTGTGAGAATTCTCAAATATACCCTGCAGCGTCACGGGCACAGCAGCACCTTATTTGTGAGAATTCTCAAATATACCCTGCAGCGTCACGGGCACAGCAGCACCTTATTTGTGAGAATTCTCAAATATACCCTGCAGCGTCACGGGCACAGCAGCACCTTATTTTAGAGAATTCTCAAATATACCCTGCAGCGTCACGGGCACAGCAGCACCTTATTTGTGAGAATTCTCAAATATACCCTGCAGCGTCACGGGCACAGCAGCACCTTACTTGTGAGAATTCTCAAATATACCCTGCAGCGTCACGGGCACAGCAGCACCTTATTTGTGAGAATTCTCAAAAATACCCTGCAGCGTCACGGGCACAGCAGCCCCTCGGCCTCGGCCTCGCACTAAGAGCACTCACCACATGGACAGCAGCCACATCTCTTTTAATGCCAGCTCCAGCTGCCGCTCCTCGCCGTATGTCTGCCCCGACTCGTGGCTTAGGCTGTTGACCGCCACGTCGTGGCCCCCCAGCGGCACCCCCTCCACATACGCATCCCGGATGGCGTCTTGGTAGGAGCGTTTTAAAGACGCCACTAACACGCCTATGCTGCGCGGGCTGCTGCTGCTGCTGCTGCTGCCCTCGTATGCCTTGTCCCGTGGCCGATCCAACCACTGCTGCTCCAAGGCAGTAGGGGCAACCTGAGGGGACAGAGCGGACAGAGGGGTGGGTGGGTGGGTGGAAGGCTGGGTGTGTGATGCAAACACCGTGCCCTCCCAGCAGCACCCCCTCGTATGCCGCCTGTGCTGTGCCACACCATCCTTGTCCCGCGAGCGATCCAGCCACTGCTGCACCATTGGAGTAGGGGCCACCTGAAGAGCAGGGAGGGGGTGGGTGCGAGAAGGTGCGAATCATAAGAATGATCATAATAATTATAATAATTATGACAACGGAAACAATTATTGAAATAACAATAGTAACAGTACTAGTATTAGAAATAGTAATAGTAAAAATAATAAAAATAACTATTATAATAAAACTGGGTATTACAAGTCGTAACGCCTCGCTCATAATGCTCTTCCACCGCGCATGATCCACCATGAGACGCAGCACCCCTGAAATAGTCAATTCACACCAGATCTTCAAACAACTCCCCTGGGGCCTGGCCTCACCTCACCTCTTCATTCATAATGCTCTTCCACTGCACATGCTCCACTAGGCGAGGCAGCCCCCTTGATATTTCCACAGCACACTGAATAATCCTTACACTTCCCATCCCTCACCTCCTCGTTCATAATGCTCTTCCACCGTGCATGCTCCATCAGGGGAGGAAGCCCCTTGGATATATTCAAAGCACACTGCATCGTGCGTTGAATCACTTGTGGCTCGTCCATAGTGTCTGTTGTGAAGTCCCGGATCTGCATACGATGGGGGGGAGGAAGAGAGGATGAGAACAATGATGATCACTTGTGGCTCGTCCTTCGTGTCGACTGTGAAGTCCCGGATATGAAAATGGGGGAAGAGAGAGAGGAAGAGGGGGACAGTGGGGTCCGCCGTCGCCTATTAATGCAAGGACCGTTGGAGGAAGAGGGGGACAGTGGGGGCAGACAGAGGATAGAGAAAGCTAGACGCGCTGCTTGAAACTCGAGGACTTTCAACTTGATGCGCTGATTCACAGACCAAACCTACAGCATCTGGATCTTATTGCGCCTGGGTCCTATACGGACCTGAATGCCGAACCAGCATTGGCACGGACCTGGATGCCGACCCTGTGCTGGTACGGGGCGAGGTAGGCTCGGAAGGCGCGGGTGATTTCCTCCCAGAGGTAGTTGGCGGGGTGCAGCAGGTAGCGCCCCACGTGCATCAGCGGCAGACGGTCGGGGAACAGGCGCTCCAACTCAGCCTGGAGAAAGAGGAAGGGGGGGGAGAGATGAGAGGGATGAAAGCAAGTAGCATCCCACCTGCATCAGAGACAGGCGGTTGGGAAATGTGCACACTCAAGTGTGCTTACATCCATGCGTGCTTACATCGAATTCAGGGACGAAGTAGAGGGCAGGCACAATGTACTCCTCTGTATCGACCTCAGAGATGAGGCGCCTCAGGAGTGTGCTTACACTGAAGTGTGCTTACACTGAAGTGTGCTTACATCGAATTCAGGAACGAAGTAGAGGGCAGGCACAATGTACTCCTCTGTATCGAGCCCCAGGAAACGGATGGCTGAGATCTGCCTCTGCACCTTGGAACAGTAAAACTCGAGATCTGAGACGTTGGCTCTGCAGCAGCGGAGAAGGGAAGGAGAATGAGCGTGAGGGCGGGACCAGATTCAAGAGATGAAAACAAAAAGGAGAGAGGAAGTGGAGAGGATAAGGTGTGGAGAGGAGATGGGGAGGAGAGGAGATGGGGAGGAAAGGAGATAGGGAGGAAAGGAGAAAAGGAGGGAGAGTGCGGAGGAAAGGAGACGGGGATGAGAGGAAAGTACCGAGGAAAGAAGGGGAGGAGAGGAGAGGAGAGGGGGGCGAAGTGTAGTGAAGACCCCCCCTCGCCCACCCCAACCCACGCCCACCTACAACTGGGGTCGCTGAAAGCAGCAGTGGGGTGCCTTTGCCCTCTCACCCGCAATCACCCAGAATCACCCACCCTTACCCACCCGCACCCACCCGCACCCACCCCCACCCACGCCCACCTGCAGCTGAGGTCGCTGAAAGCAGCATTGGGGTGCCTCTGCCCCTCGTCTCCCCCTCTCGCCCCACGCCACCCACAAGTACCCCTCTTACCCATCCCACCCCACCCCACCCCACCCCACCCCACCCCACCTGCAGCTGAGGTCGCTGAAAGCAGCATTGGGGTGCCTCTGCTCCTCATCGCCCCCTCTCGCCCCATCGTCCATCTCCATGCGCCCCACCATGTGATTCCGCGCCACTGCTGCCATCAGACTGGCGGGGAGGGGTGGAGAGGGGTGGGGAGGAGTGGGGAGGAATGGGATGTGGTAGAGGGAAATAGTGAGATAATAAGGCATGAGGAAAGCTCCTCTCGCCCCCATCGTCCATTCCCATGCGCCCCACCATGTGATTCTCGCCACTGCTGCCATCAGACTGGTGAGTGGCGGGGAGGGGTGGGGAGGGTCGGGGAGGGGTGGGGAGGAGTGGGGAGGTATGGGATACTAAGGCATGAGGAACAAGATGCTCCTCTGGCCCCGTCGTCCATTCCCATGCGCCCCACCATGTGATTCCGCGCCACCGCTGCCATCAGACTGGCGGGAAGGGGAAAGGTGGGGGGTATGGGGGGACAAATAGATGGGGGGACAAATTGATGGGGGGACAAATTGATGGGGGGACAAATACATGGGGGGACAAATAGATGGGGGGACAAATTTATGGGGGGACAAATAGATGGGGGAACAAATAGATGGGGGGACAAATAGATGGGGGGACAAATTGATGGGGGGACAGATTGATGGGGGGACAAATTGATGGGGGGACAAATAGATGGGGGGACAAATAGATGGGGGGACAAATAGATGGGGGGAAAAATTTATGGGGGGACAAATTGATGGGGGGACAAATAGATGGGGGGACAAATTGATGGGGGGACAAATTGATGGGGGGACAAATTGATGGGGGGACAAATTGATGGGGGGTCAAATTGATGGGGGGTCAAATTGATGGGGGGTTGTGGGAAGGAGGCGGGAAAGAGTGGGACTCAAACCTATGATGGGAAGGCAGGGAAGGCACCAGGAGGATTCGTTAACAAGGCACTCACTCCAAGGCTGCAGGGCTGATTAGAAGCAGACGTCTCAAGACTCGCTCTCGCTATTCACTCAGAGCCTTGGTTCTCTTACTGCAACACAAGGCACTCACTCCAAGGCTGCAGGGCTGAGATGCAGACGTCTCAAGACTCGCTCACTATTCAGACGTCACACTATTCACTTAGGGCCTTGGTGCTCCTACTACAACAACACACACAAGGCACTCACTCGAAGTCGTCAGAGGAGAGGGAGGGCGGGCGCCAGGAGGAGTGCGGGGAAGGGGTTGCAGAGGAGACGCACGGAGAAGGCTGCAGGGCTGATTAGCAGCAGACGCCTCAAGACTCTCTTGCTATTCACTCGGAGCCATGGTTCCCTTACCACAACACACGGCACTCACTCAAAGTCTTGAGAGGAGAGGGAGGGTGGGCGCCACGAGGAGTGCGGGAAGGGGTTGCAGAGGAGGCGCGCGTTGAACGCAGCAGGGCTGATCAGCAGCGTGCGGTCAGTTAAAAGGGCGTATACGAAGGCAGAGACGAGGGAGAGCAGTTGATTTCCCAGGCCTGACCAGGGAAAATTGGGGAAAGGGGGGGAGCGGTCTGTGAGGAGGAGACGAGCGGAGAAGGCTGCAAGGCTGATTAGCAGCGTGCGTTTGGTGATGGGGGCGTATACGAGGGCGGCTACTAGCGATAGCAACTGATTTCCCAGGCCTGGGGGGGATTGGATTATTGGGCGTGAAGGGGGAGGGAAGGGGAAGGGGGGGAAAACGGAATGGCGGGCTGAGCAGAAGCGTCGGGTAAAAAAAGACGGCGCACAACAAACTCGCACTCTCTCACTCACCGTTGAACGTGGGCTCCTGCCACAGCAGGTACTTGCAGTCTGCTACGGCGTCGGCTGACGCGCTTTTGCTGAGCCCCTGTGCGCTGAGAGTGGGGCACAAAGGGGGTGGGGGGGGAGAGGGGGGGGAGGAGAATGTGGGAGGAGGAAAATGTGGGATGTGAGTGGGAGGTACTTGCAGTCTGCGGCCGCATCAACTGACTCGTTGCTGCTGAGCCCCTGCGCCCTGAGAGAGGGACACAAAAGGGGGGGGGGGGGGGGGGGGGGGGGGGGGGGGGGGGGGGGGGGGGGGGGGGGGGGGGGGGGGGGGGGGGGGGGGGGGGGGGGGGGAAGAGGAGAACGTGGGAGATGAGCGCGAGAGGTAGAGGGCATGGGTGCTGCTCGAAACAAACGGAACTAAACAGGCGGCTTGCGACTTGGTGTAGCGCTGAGTGAGCGTTTTGAGACGCCTCGACCTACAGGAATGCGCCGTGGGATGTGTAGCGGACTCACGGATCGTTGAAAAAAGCCGGCCAATCGGCGACGGCAGCGGTGCAGGCGGCGTGCGTCTTGGTGTAACGCTGGATGCGGTCGAACAGCGCGTCGGACATGCGCGTCGCCGTGCTGTACGGCTGCACGAATTAACATCACAATCAAAGGTTGGAAATGACAGGGATTGCTCAAACAAGCACTGGATGCGCTCGAACAGCGCGTCGGATATGCGCGTCGCCGTGCTGTACGGCTGCACGCATGAAATCAAAATCAGCGGTCAGGATTGCTCAAATGCACGAATGACAGGGATTGCTCGAACAGAGCGTAGGACACCCGCGGATAAGATCACAATTGTGAGAACGAATGCGATCAGTCTGACACGTCGGAAGCTACGCACCGATTGGTAGTAGCGTCGCTCTGACACGCTCCAGCAGAGCGACGAAGAAAACGCGTCTTCCTCCACGTTCGCGTAACTCCCGAAGCCGCCGTCCCCGCCGCCGCCGCCGCCGGCGGGCAGGTGGTGATGGTGAAGAGCGCGAATGGCGGCGTCAGCCTCGTAGAGCTGCCGGTGACGTTGACTGACATCGTGACGGCCGTCAGTAACCTGACTGCCGGCGGCTCGGCTGTCAACCCGACGACCGTCGGCTAGACTGCTAAGCCGTAGTTGACGGCGATTTTGATCCCGATCGTGGTCGAGATCGTAGTAACGGTCACTAAATCTACGACTCGCGTCGCGGTCACTTACTGTGTTATCCTCGTCGACGAGTTGTCGGCGGTGAAATTGCAGGTTTAATCTGTCATGACCGGCGATGTGATCATTCCGATAGCTTCTTGCGTGCGAACGTGTGCTTGTAACGGGGTGAACGGAGAGGCACGCGATCAGCAGGAGTGTCAGGAAGATTTGCCGTGAGCTCCAGAAGGACATATGGGAAGGAACGCGTAGGTATACCATATTGTATCGAACTAGCGAGCCGTTTCGGCGTCCAGACAACGATTCTAGTCTTATAGATATGAGGGCCTTGGCTCTCTCCTTTCTGCTGCCTTCTAAGAGGCGACACGGTACGGCTGGATACTATCAGGCCAAGTCTCAAACGTGGTTTGAGAGCGTTATTGCCGCCGAGTTCCGTGGGGGACGCAGCCGAAGCAACTCGTGCCGACCTAACACCTAGGCTTCCTCTAGAAAGGTACGAGCATGTGCTGCTTCGCTTTGGTGGTGGCAAGGAAACTTTCCTTCTAAATTCGCCTTTGATTGAATCCGTCTAAATTCGCCTTTGATTTGGCTGCTGGCCCACAGGTGGACGAAAGGCTCGGTTTGCTCCTTCACAGTTGGTTCGGTTTACTGGGAGTGAATTTGCTTGTGTACGGAGCGGGGCGGAGGGGGGAGTGGGAGAGGGGGGAAGGAAGGGGAGGGGCAAGTGGAGGGTGTGTGTGTGGGTTCGGCTGTGCGGGTGGGAGAACCGGGGATGTGGCGCCAGGGAGAGGGGGAGTCATGGGGCAAGGGAGTGATGATAATTGGTTCCAGCCCAAGCGCTGGAACCCAAAGGGGGGGAAAACTGACGGCGGTACCTGCCGGCTGACGTTGAACCGACCGAACTGTCGAAGAATACAGTACACGTGGGGGAGGGAGGGACCCTTGGAATTGCATTGCATCGCGTCGCGTGCGATGCTGCGATGCGAAGCTTTGGCAGGAGGCCAGGCGAGCTGAAATGCAATTCAGCAAGTCCCTCAAAGTTGGAATGGAAAATGGCCGAGTCGCGTGGACTGACGAGTCTGACGAAATGCAATAACGAAAGACGCTTCGACAGGGGATGCACTCGGTTAAGCAGAATTGGCTTAGACTGAGTGTACACAGCAAATGCATGGCTACACTGTTGCCACATTCAAGTTTGATTCTCTCTCTAGACCATTCAACTACGGTAGGTGCTTTATGCTAGTGCATGCAGTACACTTGCACCTTCTGCATTTTGATTCACCATACCAAGCAACATCTGATAAAAAAAGTAAATTTAATGCAAGGAAGTGCTATTTTTGAGCATACCATAGAATAGGACTAGACACCCCTAGGAAAGCTTGGGTCAGTGTTAGGCAATCCTGAGAAGGATCCCAACCATTATTTTGGCTAGGCAGCATTTCACCGGTAAGCAAGACTAATATGTAACACTCATCATCAGCACAAACCTCGATGTAACATGAACATTTGCAGGTTATAGGGATTACTGAGGTTTGGCATAACCGTTTAGAATGCTGAAGATGAACCTGCTACCGTACCAAATATCCAGCATTTGGCCCTCACCAGAGCAAATATAATGGTAACCTCAGGTTCTGGGCTTAGGTCTGAAGCTCTTTGACAATAAGACAAGCAAAAATCCCACTAGCATCTTTATTTCATTTGAAGTCACCAAGGTACTGGAAATCTAACCCAACAAGTACTTCTAGCAAACAGCACCACAGCTACGGTACTACTCATCCCACGCAAAAAAAAACTGTCATGCAAACATCATGAGCACAATCGCAAGAAGAGCCCCAGCAAGCGTGGGACGCGCAACTCCCGACGCCTTGGGAACAGGCGGGGACGGCGGGAGAGTGAAAATCGGCTTGGGATACTGGGTATCGTTCATGCACTGCGTGGTGTTGATCGGACGGTTCAGGAGGTCGGTGTACTTGCTGAGATCGACGGTCCCGATTGGGCAATTGTTCTCAGGGTCCAGAGCGAAGGGGTCGCAGCACAGAGTTGTCTTGGGAATGTATTGTGGCGCAACGCCATTGAAGCAATTCGTCTGAAGGGGAAGAGGACGGGGGGAGGGGGGAGGGTGGGGGTGGGGGGTCGTTGAATTGGGTGAATACGGTGCAAACAATGGGAGGGGGAGGGGGGAACAGTTGAAGGGGGAATTGGAGCACTGAGATCAAGGACATGATTTGTAAGTACAGTGCGCATGGTGAGCGCAATAATACGGGAACAATACAGGAGGATCATCAGCGAACAGGAGCACACGCTGACTCACGATGTTCAAAACAGCCTTGAGCGCAAGGACGCCAAACAGTGCGCCGAAACCCGTCAGAACAGAGCTGGCGAAGGCAGCAACACATTAACGTTTCCAAAGATAATCAGCGATAGGGGTACAGTGACTCACGTTATTCACAACAGCCTTAAACGAAATGATGCCGAACATTGCCCCGAAACCCGTCAGAGACAAGCTGGCGAACGTGGTAGCGTCGGTGACGTTGTTCATAATTCCATCTGCACGTGATGATGTGAGATAGGAAGTGGAAGGGGATGGGAAAAATAGACAAGGTTAAGGAGAAAAACAAGAGTAGAGCTAGCGAACGCGAGCGCATCAGTGACGTTGCTGATGGTGTCGACTGCACGAATAATGCGAGGTAGGACGGAGGAGGGCCGAGGGAAGCATAATAGAATGAGAGAACATGGACAGAAACTAAATCTACGAGGAGAGACAGAAATATGCGATGCAATTTCGACACGTGCCGACCAAACTGAATCTGCCACCAAGTCGCTGACAGACAATCACAAAATCGCGAGACAGCCAATAGCGAAGACTTACAGCGCGAGTCCTTGCAGGCTGCGTAGAGCTGGTCGGCAAACGCGGGGCAGATGGTGATTGTGGGGCCGTCGTTGTACTTGACGACGTAGTTACCCATATCTGTTGCCGAGGGGGGGATCGGATCAGATTGGATTGAAGGAACACGACAATGAAGCTGAGCCTACTTCGGATCGAAGCCTGGTAAGTTGCAAAAAGACTTGCTAAGGTCCTCGATACCAGAGGATATCTCGATCATGAAAAGTAGCATCAGCTGACTAAAACGCGTACGCTGAGACAAATGCCATCATGACTGACAGGTTGGTATCACGTCGCCACATTAGCGTGCCAGAAAGTGATTACCTGATTTGTGATTGGACAAGTCCCCAAGGGCTGTCGAGGGTGACGAAAATCTATGTGAGTTGTTATCAGGGATGCAGGTGGTTACCAGGGTTGCATGTAGCGGCGCAGGCGACGGACTCTAGCAGCAGCTCGCACTGCTGGAAGCCGGACAGAAGATTGCACGTCTGATATGAGAGGGCAGGGGGAGCCGTGAGAGAGGAGAGAGCGAAGATTAGGGGCAGAACCCAACAAAACTTCGCTGCACCGAACCAAGACCAACGTCAGGGCGAATTTCATTGTATAGGACACCCTTGCAACCGCCATCAGTGGTTCCGTTCTCATTTCCAAACATGATAAGGAAAAAGTGAACAGATTGGATACGAGAACGCCGCGGCATTAGAAGCAGATCGGACACGAGAATGCTGCGGCATTAGAAGCAGATCGGACACGAGAACACTGCGGCATTGGAAGCAGATCGGATACGAGAACGCTGCGCCGTTGCAACCAGAAAGCAGGCATTGGAAGCAGATCGTGCGGTACGACTTACCGGGGGGGGTCCCGAGGGGAAAATGCCGGTGGTGTTCCACAGGGCGGTGCCGGTAGAGGCCGCCTCGGAGCCCTTGGATCCGTTCGACTTGATGAGACGCAGCCCGAGCTCGTAGTCTCCGCACGGCATGCAGCAACTCATTTTGGAGGCCGCCAGGCATCGAACCATCGGGACCATCGTCTCAGTGGGCGGCGTTTCGCTGATCGGGCATGTTTTGTACGTCTGCGCGTGAGCCGCCAATGCTGCGCAAGCGATGATGAGGAGGAGGAGGGCCGAGCTGGTGACGCTGGTTCGCTCCATTGTGCGACAATGGAGGTGTGCGAGAGGTGACGCTGCTTTTATGGCGCGGGAGAAAGGCAGCGCCTTGTAAGGGTTAGAAACACGGTGTTTCACGTGACGTGAAAGGCAGCGCCTTGAAGGGTTAGCAACACGTGGTGTGATATTTGATTACAATGAAGCGTGGAATGATATTTGAATGTGGGGGAGGAAACTTGCGGACGAACTGGTGCTATATGCTCAAGTGTTTCCAGGGAGACTTGCTGGTGTGAGGGGCTTTCACTGGTGCTGCATGTTGCACCAGGAATGGCGCCAGCTGAATTGACGCTGTTTCCTCTGCGTGCCCTGAGATGACCAGGATCGAGTCGCACTTGGTGGGTGGAAATTGAGAGGCGGCGGGAGATGCATTCTCGGCGCG